GTCTTTCACTCTCTCCACTGGCTGTCTCTCACTCTCTCCACTGGCTGTCTCTCTTGCTGTCTCTCCTAGCTCTCTCTCTCCTAGCTGTTTCTACTCTCAATCCCCTGGCTGTCTCCTCTCTCTCCCCACTGGCTGTCTCTCCTCGCTCTCTCCCCTGGCTATCTCTCCTTGCTCTCTCTTCTAGCTGTCTCTCCTGGCTGTCTTTCCTCTGTCGTCTGGCTGTTCCTCCCCTGGTAGTCTATCCTGCCTACCTCTCCTCCATCTGTCTCTCTCTACTCTCTCTCATAGCCGTCACTCATCTCTCCTGGCTGTATCTCCCTTCTCTCTCCTGGCTGTCTCTTCTTGCTCTCTTCTGGCTGTCTTTCCTCGTTCTCTCCCCCAGCTGTCTCTCCTCTCTCCCCGGTCTCCTCGCGCTCTCCCCTAGCTGTCTCTCCCCTGGCTGTTTCTACTCTCTCTCCCCACTGGCTGTTTCTACTCTCTCTCCCCACTGGCTGTTTCTACTCTCTCTCCCCACTGGCTGTCTCTCCTTGCTCTCTCCTCTGGATGTCTCTCCTTGCTCTCTCCCCTGGCTGTCTCTCCTTGCTCTCTCCCCTGGCTGCCTCTGCTCACTCTCTCCTGGCTGTTTCTCTCCTGGCTATCTCTCCTCCGGCTGTCTGTCTTCACTCTCTCTCATGGCTGTCTCTTCTCCCTCTCCTGGCTGTCTTTCCTCGCTCTCTTTCCTTGCTGTCTCTCCTCCCTCTCTCTTCTGGCTGTCTCTCCTCGCTCTCTCCCCTGGCCGTCTCTCCTGGCTCTCTCCCCTGGCCATCTCTCCTCGCTCTCTCCCCTGGCTGTCTCTCCTCACTCTCTCTTCTGGCTGTCTCTCCTCGCTCTCTCCCCTGGCCGTCTCTCCTGGCTCTCTCCCCTGGCCATCTCTCCTCGCTCTCTCCCCTGGCTGTCTCTCCTCACTCTCTCTTCTGGCTGTCTCTCCTCGCTCTCTCCCCTGGACGTCTCTCCTCGTTCTCTCCACCAGGCTGTCTCTCCTCGCTCTCTCCCCTGGCCGTCTCTCCTGGCTCTCTCCCCTGGCCATCTCTCCTCGCTCTCTCCCCTGGCTGTCTCTCCTCGCTCTCTCCCCTGGACGTCTCTCCTCGTTCTCTCCACCAGGCTGTCTCTCCTCGCTCTCTCCCCTGGCCGTCTCTCCTGGCTCTCTCCCCTGGCCATCTCTCCTCGCTCTCTCCCCTGGCTGTCTCTCCTCGCTCTCTCCCCTGGCTGTCTCTCCTCGCTCTCACCCCTGGCTGTCTATCCTCGCTCTTACCCCTGGCCGTCTCTGCTCACTCTCTCCCCAAGCCGCCTCCCCTTGTTCTCTCTCCTGGCTGCCTCTCCTCGCACTCTCCCCTGGCTGTTTCTACTCTCTCTCTCCACTGGCTGTCTCTCCTTGCTCTTTCCCCTGGCTGTCTCTCCTCGCTCTCACCCCTGGCTGTCTCTCCTCTCTCCCCCCACTGGCTGTCTCTCCTCACTCTCCACACTGGCTGTCTCTTCTCGTTCTCTCCCATGGCTGTCTCTTCTCGCTCTCTCTTCTGGCTGTCTTTTCTCTCTCGTCTGGCTGTTCCTCCCCTGGTAGTCTCTCCTGGCTATCTCTCCTCTGGCTGTCTCTCTTCACTCTCTCCTGGCTGCCTCTCCTCCCTCTCTCCTGGCTGTCTCTTCTTGCTCTGTTCTAGCTGTCTCTCCTCACTCCCCTGACTGTCTCTCATCGCTCTCTCCACTGGCTGTCTCTCACTCTCTCCACTGGCTGTCTCTCTTGCTGTCTCTCCTAGCTCTCTCTCCTAGCTGTTTCTACTCTCTCTCCCCACTGGCTCTCTCCTCGCTGTCTCTCCTCGCTGTCTCTCCTCGCTGTCTTTCCTCTCTCGTCTGGCTGTCCCTCCCCTGGTAGTCTCTTCCGCCTACCTCTCCCCCATCTGTCTCTCTTTACTCATCTCTCCTGGCTGTATCTCCCTTCTCTCTCCTGGCTGTCTCTTCTTGCTCTCTTCTGACTGTCTTTCCTCGTTCTCTCCCCCAACTGTCTCCCCTGCTCTCTCCCCTGGCTGTCTCTCCTTGCTCTCGCCCCTGGCTGTCTCTCCTTGCTCTCGCCCCTGGCTGTCTCTCCTTGCTCTCGCCCCTGGCTGTCTCTCCTTGCTCTCGCCCCTGGCTGTCTCTCCTTGCTCTCGCCCCTGGCTGTCTCTCCTTGCTCTCGCCCCTGGCTGTCTCTCCTTGCTCTCGCCCCTGGCTGTCTCTCCTTGCTCTCTCCCCTGGCTGCCTCTTCTCGCTCTCTCTTTTGGCTGTTTCTCCTCCGGCTGTCTGTCTTCACTCTCTCTCATGGCTGTCTCTTCTCCCTCTCCTGGCTGTCTTTTCTCGCGCTCTCTCCTTGCTGTCTCTCCTCACTCTCTCTTCTGGCTGTCTCTCCTCTCTCTCCCTCCTGGCTGTCTCTCCTCGCTCTCTCCCCTGGATGTCTCTCCTCACTTTCTCCTGTATATTCTAAAAATAAAAAATTACCACACAGTGCTAGTGTTTGGGTTTTGCTTGAACAAAAAGGTGGCAACCCTAGTGATACAGAGCGCAGCAGCACTTGCATTTCTCACATAACAACCGCAGTCCTCTGGCAAGCTGCGAGGGAGCGTAGCTGCGGCTACCCATTTCAGTCAGGAAGCCAGATGGGTGGTCACATGATCACCCACTAGGCTTCCTGCTTCATTAATGCACCCGTGCAGGAAGAGGTAAGGGACAGTTGAAGAGGTGGCTCAGGTATTATATATACATACTGTATATACAGTGAGGAAAATAATTATTTAATCCCCTGCAGATTTTGTAAGTTTTCCCACTTACAAAGATATGAAAGGTCTATACTTTTTATCATAGGTGTATTTTAAATGATAGAGGCAGAATATCAACCAAAAATCCAGAAAAAGCACCTGATACAAATGTTATAAATTGAGTTGCAGTTCCGTGAGTAAAATAAGTATTTGATCCCCTACCAACCAACAATAATTCTGGCTCACACAGACTGGCTATGTGGTACACAGATTAGTCCTGTCAATTTAAGAAGGTGCTCCTAACTACAACTTGTTATGTATATAAAAGACACCTGTCCACAGAATGTCTTTCTGCTATTCAAACCTCACCACCATGGGCAAGACCAAAGAGCTGTCAAAGGATGTTAGGGACAAGATTGTAGACCTGCACAAGGCTGGAATGGTCTACAAGACTATCAGCAAGAAGCTTGGTGAGAAGGAAACAACTGTTGGAGCGATTATTCGCAAATGGAAGGAATATAAAACAACCATCAATTGCCCTTGGTCTGGAGCTCCATGCAAGATTCACCTCATGGGGTAAGGATGATCATGAGAAAAGTGAGGGATCAGCCCAGAACTGCACGAGAGGAGCTTGTGAAAGATCTCAAGGCAGTTGGGACCACAGTCACCAAACAAACCATTGGTAACACAATACACAGCCATGGATTGAGATCCTGCAGCGCACGCAAGGTCCCCCTCCTCAAGAAGGCGCAAGTACAGGCCCGTCTGAAGTTAGCCAATGAGCATCTAAATGATTCAGAGAAGGATTGGGAGAAAGTGCTGTGGTCAGATGAGACCAAAATTGAGCTCTTTGGCATTAATTCGACTCGCCGTGTTTGGAGGAAGAAAAATGCTGACTATGACCCTAAGAACGCCTTCCCTACAGTCAAGCATGGAGGTGGAAACAGTATGCTTTTGGGGCTGTTGCTCTGCTAAAAGGTACAGGCTGACTTTGCCGCATTGAGGGGCCAATGAACGGGGCCATGTATTGTACAATCTTGGATGAGAACTTCCTTCCCTCAGCCAGAACACTGAAGATGGGTCGTGGATGGGTCATTCAGCATGACAATGACCCAAAACATACCGCCAAGGCAACAAAGCATAGCTCAAGAAAAAGCACATTAAGGTCATGGAGTGGCTTAGCCAGTCTCTAGACCTTAATCCTATAGAACATATATGGAGGTGGCTGAAACTTCAAGTTGCCAAGCGACAGCCAGGCCTTAAGGATTTAGAGAAGATCTGTAAAGAGTGGACCAAAATCCCTCCAGAGATGTGTGCAAACCTGGTAACCTCTGTGCTTGCCAACAAGGGTTTCTCCACCAATTACTAAGTCATGTTTTGCTTGGGGATCAAATACTTATTTTGCTCACTATTCATTGAACTGCAACTCAATTTATAACATTTGTATCATGTGTTTTTCTGGATTTTTGGTTTATATTCTGTCTCTATCATTTAAAATGCACCTTTGATACTTGTGGATTCCTATGGTGTTGAAGTTATTCACAAATTACACTTAATTGGCTAACCATCAATGTTCAAAACCTACAAAGAGTTAAGGTATTTGACTTGGCTTGTCTTCTGTAAACACACTTAGCCAAGCTTTCTGCACCATATTTTGATGCCTACTACCCCCAGGTTTTCAAAGCCAATGTTACTACCAAGGAGTCCTAGTTGCGTTCCAAAAGTCTACCCCTTTCTGTTGCGTAAAACAGATTGCCACACCAAATGCGTCTAAAGGAACGGCTGCTTCTGTGCAGCTAACTTGGTCCTGAACCCTAAAATAGATAAACATCCAGCTGAGGATAATGGTAATGAAACCCGATACCTTTCTTCTGTGCTTAAACAATTTAATTATATTTTACTTCAAAATAACCTGGTTGATGTCTGGTGAGAGCTATAACCACTTCCAAAGACTGCACTTACTATTCCCACCCACAATAAACCCATTCCTGTTTTTCTTTACAGGTGCTTTCTTTTGCAGGCTGCCCTTTGCAAACAGGTTTACTGTTCCATGGTCCATATGGTCCAAACTGAACAAACATTCTGTTACTTCACCATGACCAATTGAGAGGACTATAATACAACATACTTCCCAGAATGTAAGAAAGGTATAAAATGTTTAATGAAGAACTCCTGGAATTTTTTTTTTGTAACCCTTGCAGTGGGGCTACCCCCGCACTGAGAGGGTTAAGTACTCACCCGAAGCTCTGAGCCAGCAGCTGTCATGGTGCTTTCTCCAGCCTGTCTCCCCATCCCTGCAGCATTGTAATCTTCCTTAGCCTCCTCATATCTATACACTGGGGGAAATTTATCATAGCAGTTGCGAGTATTTGAACTTGCACAGAATATATTTGATCCACTTTGTGCCAGATTTATGATGCCAGTGTAATGTTGTTCATAAATTAGGTTTAACAGACTCCAGGAAAGAAGACTCGTAACTCCAGGCAAAAAGCTTAATTATTGTTTTGTTAGGTAATGCTCCAGTTTCAGGCAGCCACAGAACAAGTGCAGATGAAAACATGTGCAAAAAACATGCAATAGAAAAAGTAGTGCAAGCGCTGGTCAAAACAGGTGCAAAACACGTGCATTTGGAAAAGTAGTGCAAGCTCTGGTCAAAACAGGGGCACATGTTAGAAGACAGATTTGCACATAAAAAGTGATCTAAGAGGCTAAAACGGTCGCAATTGCTTTGATAAATTCCCCCCACTGTGTATAAATGTTCATGATTTATGGGGCCTTAGACTGCTGCAGAAGAGGGGGAGAGACTGTTTAGCCGGCTCAATGCTGATTGGCCCGGGAAGCCGGCCTCATGCTGTTTAGCCGTCTCGATGCTGATTGGCCGGAAAGCCAGCTCCATGCTGTTTGGCCAGCTCAGTGCTGATTGGCTGGGAAGCTGCTGGACGCTGCTCCATGTTCCCTCGTGCCACTGCCAGTCAGAGAAACTCGCCCAAATACTCGGTATTGGTGCATCCCTAATTATCACTATGCAAACCCACACTAAAGAAACTGCAACATACATACTCCTTGGCGTAACATAACTCCCTCAAATGCCTGGGCATCCCCCTCACCCCAACATAAGTATCCCCCCGGTGCCAAGCAAACATATCTCCGCTCCCATAAGAGTTGAACAAACTTCTAGATACTTGGCAACATTACTTTATTTCATGGATCAGAAGCTACAAGCTATAAAAATTACATAGCTACCTAAATTGTTATACGTCTTCTAGAGTAGTGATGGGCCGACAACCTCCTGTTCGGTTTGAATTTGAACTTTATAACATGGGAAAAGTTTGGATTCAAAGCCGAACTAAATGCAAGTCTATGGGGGTAGAAATTTAAAAATCAAATGCCCCCATTTTGAAGCCTTACATGCAATTTATTGGCCATAAAAAGTGTATGGGGATTCGGGTACTGCCCTGGGGCATATAAATCAATGACATTTAAAAAAATAAAAAATAAATACAGTTTTTAAAGGAGCAGTGATGTTTAAATAACTTATAGTGAAACAATAAAAATGTTCGTGCCTGGGGGGTCCCCTTAAACTGCCTGTAAAGTGGCACATCTGCACAATGTGTAGAACCTGCTGCAGTAAAAATGGTGTTTCTAAAGAAAAAAAATGAAATGTAAAAATAAAAAAATTAATAAAATAAAATAATAATGTGTGGTTCCCCCTCCCAAACAATACCAGACCCTTTACCCTTTAGGTCTGGTAGGAATGTTAGGAGGGACCCCATAAAAAAGTGGGTAATATTAGTTGTTTTATAACATAGTTAAAAAAAACTTGTTTTTTTTCAACATTTTCAGTAATTTCTCCTGAATATAGTAAAAAATAAACCCGCCAGTGGTGATTAAAAACCACCAAAAGAAAGCTCTATCTGTCCCTAAAAAATGGTATAAAATTAATTTCAGTACAGCGTTGCATGACAGAATAAATGTCAGTCAAAGTACCGCAGTGCTGAATACTGAAAAAATGGCCTGGCCAGGAAGGGGGTCTAAACACCTGGTCTTCAAGCAGTTAAGGAGGAACCTCACCCTTAAAAATGGGGGTGGGGGGGGAAACGTGGGCTCCCCCTAAAAATCCCAACCAGACACTTGATCTAAGCACAGGCCTGGCAGGGCAGGAAAGAGCGAGCGCCCCCCCACGCGATACCAGGCCACATGACCTTGGAACTGTAAGGGTGCCGAGAGTCACCCCTGGAAAAGCACCTTGTCCCCGTGCCAAAGGGGACAAGGACCTCCTCCCCACAAGCCCTGGGGAGTTGGTTGTGGGGGTGCGGGCAGGGTGCTTATTCACAGATGCGCCCCCCCTTGTGAATGAGTAAGGGGTACCCCTACCCATTCACTAAAGCTTTAAATCAAATTGTAAATAAAAACACCATAAATCCTTTATTTGAAAAAACAAAACAAAGAAAAGTCTTTGCCAAGTCTTTTATTTAAAAAAAAATTAAAAATGGATCCACCGACATAATCCAGGGTCAATCACGACGTCCAGCATTGTCCACGACGATGACGATGCAACGAAATAAAAAATAAATACATAGAAATAATTTTTTTCAAAACCTGACGACCGCTGTCCCATCCATTTGCAACGAACACCCGCTCCAAACGGCTCGAACACCAAGCCCAACTCTATTCTAGACATGTAAGCCGGCAAAAAAATTGTGTTTGGTTTTTATCGTTATTTCATTTTTTGGGGATTTGTGCCCGAAAGTCATTTCGTTTTGGGATGCGGATGAATCCGAAATATTTGTTAATTGCGGATGAGTTAAATATTTACCAAAAAATTTTGTTGCAGCAAAATGACATTAGAAAAAAAAATATTTTCAACAGAAACAAAAAGTGTGCACTCCCCCCATTCACAGCAGACCCTTTAGGTCTGGAAGGAATTTAAGGGAAGACTCCAACGCAAAAAAAAAAATGTGCGCGGTCACGATTGCTATTCGGGAGTCCCGCATAGCATTTGGGAGCAGAGCTACGATCATTGACAGCTCTGCTACCAAATGTGAACAAATTGGCGGAACAAGTCCCGTGACTTCACCACTCGCTCTGCCCCTTTGTTGACACTCGGGTCAGACCTGTCATTTTGTGGCGGTGTTCGTCGGGATTGGGCGGGTCGGCGGGCTTCGGGTATTCTTTCAGAGTGATTGGCGAGTATTTACATCGCTGGACAACTTGATTGACCTTTGTATTACATCGATGGACACTTTAAAAAAAAAAAAAAGACTTGTCAAAAACCTTTGCTGCTTTTTTTTTCCAAATAAAGGACTTTTGTTTATGGTGAGGTATGTTTATTTACAATTTGAGTGTTTTTATTTGGTGAATGAGTAGGAGTAACAACTACCCCGTACTTACTCACTGGGGGGAGGTGATATAGAGACAAGATGCTTTTCCAGGGGGTATACCCCAACCCCCCCCAGCAAAGCACCCTCCCCATGTCAAGGTCATGTGGCCTGGTATGGTGCAGGGGGATTGGGCGCACACTCCCCCCCCCCCTTTTTCTGCTCTGCCAGGCTGCTGTTCAGATCAAGGGTCAGGTAAGGGATTTAAGTTTTTTTTTCTTTTTGGCGATAGGGTACCCCCTAAAAAATAGTTTTAATGTTTAACAACAAATTCATTCAGAATATTTAGGAAAAAAAATGTGGATGCATCTGAAATTTCCGTTATCGGAAGATGCAGATACGTTCAAATTCATTATTTTTTCATTCGGAAATGTCCTAAAATTCGTCTGAATATCAATTCAGAACAATACGAATCACGCATGTCTAATGTCTTCCATGTCCTGCCGATATCTATTCTCAGACATATTTTTAATTCTTTTATGATTTATCTGGATTAAAGCCAGACGTACGATCAGGATAAATATTTTGTACTGACACAAGCTTCCCTTGGCACTATTACATTCCACTTAAGTGTTCCCTTTGTTGGCAACCTTGGACCTAATTTATTGTTACACAATTCCCATATAAACTCTGGTTTGGCTGCCCCCACAGAAATGCCCAATTTTAGCCCACTCCCTCTCAGTTTGGGACTCATTTAAGTACTCTGGAAAACTGCTATGTTCCCCATCTGCCTCTGCAATAAACCACACACTACAGGCCTCATCTCTTTATTTTACACCTCTATTAGGTCATCCACAGTATGTAGTCCAACAACCTATCAAACAAAATGGGAAGCTGAGCTGGGAACAACACCTCAACCTGAGGACTGGCAAGAGATTTGGGATGCCTAAAGTTTCAGGAATGTCCTGGCACTAGAAAAATTCGTATAGGGTCCTCTACAGATTGTATTACATCCCTGCCCCTTGGCTAAATTCATTCCTACTTACCCTTCAACATGTTGCACATCAGAAAATCAGATCAGAAGAAAAGTCACCAGCACGCCAATGATTTCTTGTGAAGAGCGTCTTTAACAACGTTTAAATGTTCATGGTTCATATCATGTTATGAACATTTAAACGTCATTGAAGACGCTCTTCACAAGAAATCACTGATGTGATGGTGAGTTTTCTTCTGTTCTACATGTGTTGGGCACCATCCTCTTGTAACTGCAGCACCCACTGGAAATTATATTTGAATAGTAGCAGCCTCATGTCCCTAACCCCACTATTTTTTCTTTTTTACTTTCCTTCTTTTCTCTCACCTCTTATCTTTTCCATTTCCTCAAACCCTTCCCTTCACCTCCCCTTTCCAAATTCTCCTACCTAATCCCAATGCCCACCAACCAGTTTTTCTCTCCAACCCTGCCACCTCCTCTATGGTGCAACACCTATTGCCCCTTCAAGGGTACCTCCCGTAGCCCAACTTCCTATTAAGTGGGCCTTCTAATTCCACCTAATGTCCTTATACACATCAGTGACTTACTAGCTTTCACTAGCCTTTAGAGAACAAACAGTATTATCTATACTGCACCAATCTTTCTTCCCATAGTGACTTCATCTCAGTATGTCGGACACCAACGATACACTGTACAAACTGTGAGCATGCCTGGGTATTCACTATGATGTTAAGCACATATTGGAGCAGAGCTGTTCAGCATAAGTTACTTGCATTTGGCTAACCGCATGCTGTCAGACGCCATATGGTTGAGTGACATTTAAATTGCAATACAGTTGATTATTAATGATTGGTGCATTACCTGAAGTGTGCTGTAAATGTTGGTCTTTATCAGCACATCCCCAGTGTAGATATCTCTGAGATCAGTACGGAAATACTATGGAAACAGTATGGTCAAAACAAGCTACTAAGTAGCAATAACAACAAGGCAGCATTATATACACAGTGTTCACATGCTAACATGA